CATACACACACATACACACACACACACATACACACATACTGTACACACATGCACATACACACATACACACATACACACATGCACATACACACATACACACATACACACACACACACACACACACACACACAAACACTAGAGTTTGGCGATATCTAATTGTTCTATAGTCCAAATTATGGCATTAAGATGGTGGTATTTTAAAAAGCAACATTATTGCAATTATTTACCGTAATACTGCTCCAGCTTAGACAGCACCCTAACCCCCCCCTCCCCGCTATCCCCCTAATCCGCCTCCCTGAAATCAATTCACCTATGAAGTGATGTCTGAAAAGATTTCCCAAATTAAATATCCTTCGTATATGGGTGTATAATTCCAAATAAACACTGATCACAAATATGTTATACAGTGGAGTAATTTAAAAAAAAATACTGCTACAGATACAAAGTACTGAATGCCAGCGTGATTCCTGAAGGACAGTTCATTGACAACAAGAAGGCTTCAGAGAAGCTCTTGAGTTCTATTGATGTGGACCACACTCAGTACAAGTTTGGCCAGACTAAGGTAAACAGCTACAATATAGTCTGAGTCATCTTATTTGTGACATGCATTACAAGACTCAATATCCTTTTACTGGATTTAAAAGAAGTGGAATACCAATGGTTTTGGGATTGGCCTGCTGCCAGCGCTTCAAGCACTTTATATGGCAATAACTCAAAAACTATTTTGTAGATATTATTTTCAAACTTTGCAGAAACATTATATATATAAAGATCTGGGGTGAGTTTCCCAAAGCCTTCTTAAAGCTATGTACATATCTTTTAACATTAACTTACAAACGACGTAGCGTTAAGAAGGCTTCGGGAAACACACCCCTGGACTTTACCACATTATGAGACAGATCACATTAAAGCTGAAGCAGTCCAACTGTCTAGTGATAGCTAAAAAAGGACAGCCTCAGACACTTGATTTTGTCAGCATGATAACTCAAAAAACAGTTAAATCTTTTTCACACTTTGGCTATATCCAAAGAATACATTATCATCATGCTGACAGCACCCAGATCATTTAATATCTACTACATCTATTGCCAGGTGTTTTTCAAAGATGGTCTGTTGGGTCAACTGGAGGAGATGCGAGATGAGAAACTGGGCTGTTTGGTCACTATGACTCAGGCCCTGTGCCGCGGGTACCTCATGAGAAGGGAGTTTGTGAAGATGATGGAGAGGAGGTAAATATTGAAACACTGCATAATATTTGTCTGGACTAGGTTTGAAAAATAATCAAATTCAGTATCAGTTGGTGTATATGTACTAGGTATAGTGAGTGGTCACTAAAAATGTATTTTATTATGTATTACAACATTTACTTTTGAATCAAATTTTGAATACTCCCGAAATATTTCATTTTTGCTTAGCTAATTCATTCCTCTTGTGGTTTTACTTCAGAGAGTCCATTTACAGCGTCCAATACAACATCCGCTCATTCATGAATGTGAAACACTGGCCATGGATGAAGCTGTATTTCAAGATCAAGCCACTCCTGAAGAGTGCAGAAACTGAGAAGGAAATGGCCAACATGAAGGAGGACTTTGAGAAGACCAAAGAAGAGCTGGCGAAAGCACTGGCCAAGAAGAAGGAGCTGGAGGAGAAAATGGTTTCCCTGCTGCAGGAGAAGAATGACCTGCAGTTACAAGTGCAGTCGGTATGTAAATAATCTGATTGCGTGATAGAGATATGAAAATACTCAACCAACCATAATGACTGGTAAAAACTGTTTAGTACAGATAAATTTTGATCTTGCAATTTGAAAAAATGGTTAATTTGTTTTACATTTAGGAAACTGAGAATATCTCAGATGCAGAGGAAAGGTGTGAAGAACTAATTAAAAGTAAAATCCAGCTTGAAGCAAAACTCAAAGAGACAAATGAGAGGCTGGAGGATGAGGAGGAAATCAATGCTGAGTTGACTGCCAAGAAGAGGAAACTGGAGGATGAATGTTCTGAGCTGAAGAAAGACATTGATGACTTGGAGCTGACCTTGGCTAAAGTGGAGAAGGAGAAACATGCCACAGAAAACAAGGTTAATTTTAAATCATTGATGAATATCCTCCTGAGACCCCACCCATTCATTTATGTCCATTGTTAGTGGACATTTTGTTTTTGCGTCTATATTTTCACTGATATAAGGAAACATATTTATTCCTGTTGTACACTAAAGAGGACATGCTGTCAAATTACAAATAAAAATAAATTAGTAAAAATCTAAATTGTAAGATGTCTTATTTCTTCCAAAGACAAATATCCTAAAATTGAAGGACACTTTTTTCCTTGGGTCCCAAGAGAGTATAGGTTTTTGACCAAATTCATTAAATCATTGATGGGAGAATGGAATGCTTTCCTTATAGGTTAAAAACCTGACCGAGGAGATGGTCTCCCAGGAAGATAGCATTGCCAAGTTGACCAAGGAGAAGAAAGCCCTCCAAGAGGCACACCAGCAGACCCTGGATGATCTCCAGGCAGAAGAAGACAAAGTCAACATTCTGACCAAATCAAAGACCAAACTTGAACAACAAGTGGATGATGTAAGTAAAATAATCGTTAAAGGGAACCCCAAATCTAAAAAGATATGTTTTAGAGGGGCGTTAGTGCTATCCATCCATCGAGGTTGTTCTGCTGGGTGTTGCTGAGTTTTGGACATATGGGCCATAGAAATGTCTGGTTTCTCTCAAATATTATGGGAGTGAGAAGCATTCTATCTGTGATGATTAAAGTACCAGAAAAAAACATTTGAAAAATCCAACAGCACGGCATCTTACCAGAAATCATGACCTGATTATTCAAGATAATCAAGAGCCTTAGTAGTGAGCAGTTTGTATGAACTGTTTTCTTCTACTGAAGTCCACACACTAATTGTATCACTGTGTACAAAATGTTGCCGGGGTGCTCGTGCGTGTATGTCCTAGGCATACAGCCTGACATTTCTATGGCCGATATCTCCAAAACTAGCCAACTCCCAGCAGAATAACCTAGATGGATAGATGGCAGTAAAGCCCCTCCAAAACATATATATTTTTTGTTTTGGTGTGAACTGCCCCGTTATGTGTTTCATTGCTGATCAATGGCAGAAAAAAAATATGTTTCAGATCAATAACTTGATTTCATCTGTAGATTGAAGGCTCTCTGGAACAAGAGAAGAAACTACGCATGGATCTTGAGAGAGCCAAGAGAAAGCTTGATGGAGACCTGAAACTTACCCAGGAATCTATAATGGACCTGGAGAATGACAAGCAGCAGTCAGAGGAGAAGATAAAGAAGTAAGAATATTGTTAAAATAAACCTGTGAGAAAACCTCAGTCCCTAGTTTATCCCCAAGTTTAAAAGTGATCCAGAATACTAAGAATGCCTGATTGTTGTCCACAGGAAAGACTTTGAAACTAGCCAGCTTCTTAGCAAATTTGAGGATGAACAGTCACTGGCTGCTCAACTTCAAAAGAAGATTAAAGAGCTCCAGGTAAAATGTTGATACTTCAGATAAAACAACCTGTATCAATCTAGTACTATGACTTACACACTGTCATGTATTTTAGGCTC